AAACTGCAAGCTCTCTGTCTGCCTCTTTCTTCGATCCTCAACTACCTGCTCGCGTCGCATCTTGATAAAATGTTTACGCAAACCGATGACCTCGGCGACCGTATCGTTCAATTATCGCTGATATTTAAAGCAGTTTTTCTTTTTGAACCCCTCTCGAGATCCGTCGAATGCCCGCGAACAGACTTTTATATTTATCTCTCCTTTCTCTCTCTCTCTCTCTCTCTCTCTCTCTCTCCCTTTAGATAAAATATAGAATCGTAATTTAGCGATCCTGCACGATGTGTACTTTCGCGAGTGTTTGGATCTTTTTTGTTCCTCGAGGCAAAATATAGAATCGAAATTTAACAATCCAGTGACGTGCTTGATCGATTGACCGATTAGTGAAGGTAGATGTTTAAACAAAGGTAGAGATAAAATTCCTTACGGTTTATTTGTATAATATAGTTTTTCGTCCGGGTATTTTAGCGATTACTGCTTGATTGGCGTCGAAAAGATACCAAATTGGACGCGACGATCTCCATCGTCTCCATCCAAGGATCACGCGTCATCGTGGCTTTCCGCGACGGAGGTCTCAGCCCAGATCCCCAAGGGACAAATTTAAGATACCGTCTACTTTAATGACCGCGCGAGGCACAAGTAGCACCGAGACTCGCCTGCCGATGGAGCTGATGGCAGCTCTCCTGCGCGCTCGCTATAAATTCGATTTGCATTTGCCCGAGGACGACGAACGACGTGCTAAACGCGCGCCGGGAACGACACTTGTTCCCGGCGAAGTTACGAGCGCTTAACTCGCGCCGCTCGATTGTCACGTCTCGCCAGCACGCGAACTCCGCGAACAACATCGCGATCGCGATCGTTCGCGCGGAAATCCCAGGCGATACCACGAAGAAACTCGCAAGGAAAATCGGACACGACGGCGCGGCGCGTCGGTGTCGGGGTTAAGCGACAATTCGCGAGATTCGTCTCGGCGTCGAATTCACGCGAGGGAATTTTACACGCGAGAAGCAGAATTCGGCCGGGTATATACGAATAGGTCAGAGCAGGCCTCGAAGGGCGGCGCGAAGGGACAGGCGGAGGGATGACGTCACACTCGCCAGAATGCAATTTCTCCTCCGCCGACCTCACCCTCGGCCCCATGACGTCGCATAGCGCTGATTCCGTGCACGCATAATCAGGTCAGTCGGTAATGGCCGGACGCGCATCGGCTTCCGAAGGGATATTCGTTCGCCGAAGCCGGCTCGTTCATTCGCACGCCTGTCGGCCCGACAGTATCGCGCGAGTCCGCGAGAAGCATCCCGGCAGAATTTCGCGCAATTAAGCATCCTGCCAATGCGTTTTTACGATCGCGAGTCCCCCTCCGGGAAGCGCGTTGTTGTTTGTGGGAAACGCGTCACTCGGGGCTCTCGCGACGAGCTCACGGCGAGAAGCTCGCGCGTTCGGCATTGATTGACGAAAGTCTCAGTTGACTAAAACGATCGGCGGGTGTCGATAAAACGGAAGTTTTACTGCTCGCCACTGGTGTGCGGTTAGGAGCGATCTGATCGATGGACGGAATTAACCGTTAATCGGCGTATAATCGACGAAACTGCAGCGATGCGAGTGAAGCAATCGCGCGCGGTCGTCGTCTGCTCCCCGATGTTAATTTTAGTCCTTTTAGTCGACCAAAGCCTCGATCGATCAATGCCCGGCGCCACTGCTCGCTGCGACGCTGATCGGCCGGCTGATCGCGAAGCATTTTACCCTGACGGAGGAGACGCGCTCGTTTTCGGCTCGAGTAACATTGTACGTATTATATTGTCCTGGAAAATTGGACCTGGAGTTTACTAAATTGCCTGTCGTGTAAGTTGCAACAAACATTGTCCTCTTTTCCGCTCGGACCAAGGACCAATAGCAGAAAGCTTCAACGGCATTTTTAATCAACAAGTGAAGAATATGTGTTGGGAAGTTGGAGCTTGAGCCAGTTTGGCGTATTACTGGCGTATTACAATTTGGTTAATTTGACGATTTTGAAATTTCCAAAAATCAGCAAGTTAACAAAAGTCAGGGCGCTGTTGTAAAAATATATTCTTGAGACTAAATAGAGCAAAAAAGTAAGTCTAATACCACTTTTTCTTCTGACAAATAGTTAGCGAGATATCGTGAGTTAAATATGGAAAAAGTTATCAAGTTTTCCTTAAATATCTCGAAAAATATTAGATAAATAAAAAAATGTTTCAGACAAAAGTTGTTCAAATTAACTGCTGGAAGAAGATGATGTAATAAAAAATTTGGATATCCGTTTAAGATTTTTATGTTGATCTTGACTGGACTTTTCAAGGTCTTATCCCAAGGTCAAATCCATAGCGTCAGTAAATAGATCCTTTGAAGCCCTACAACTTTTGTCTGAAATATTTTTCTCTAAAATGTCGCGTTAACGAAAAAAATCAGGTGAGCCGGGTGGTTTGAAACACCCGGTATAAATCAAAACGATTTCTTGCGCGCGGCGCTATCGTCGTTCCGGCTCTCTCATGGCCCTCTTTTCCACCAATTTTCCATCCCTTGTTTTGCCCTCAACCTGACGCTTTCACATCGGTGTCGCTGAGGCTGAGGTTTGCAGTAACGATCTGTTCGGAGCACAATGAGTGTATTTTTCATTGAAACGCTGTATACTCGCAACTGCCGGCGTAGTTACAAATGCAACAGTGCAATCAGCAAAATCTCGCCTAAAGAATCGATTAATAGCACCGACTGTTCGCATTATCGGTGCAGAACCCGCGCAAGCGCGAGCAATGTCATCGCACGCAAACCGCGAGTTAGATCTGACACAGCGAATTTGTGCATCGCGAATTTGGCGGTGAGGTCTAACTTCGACTGCAGGTCGAAACGAGCGAGATACGAGACGAGGCGGTGAAGTGAAAGATTGTTTCCGTAGAAAATCGCTCGGTGCGCTGCAAATCCGAGTGCGTTATTTTGACACGCACGAGCGTGTAATTGACTGAAGCTTTCTTTGCGCGTTTCTTGTCGCCTTGAATCTCCCTCGCATCGTTTAATACGTTTAAACGTATTAAACGATGTCCAGAGGAGCGCGTTTAGACATTTATACGCCTAGACGTAATACGTTTAAACGTATTAAATGACGTCTAAACGAATTAAATGACGCGATTTAAGACGATGAGAAACGTGTAAAGAAAGCTTCAGCCAATTACACGCGTGACAAAGTAACACACGCGGATTTGCTGCGTGATTTAATCCGTGAAGCGCTGCTTCAATTGCTGATCACAAACATTTTTACCGATCCGTCTTGAGAGGGCCTTGAGAGAAAATCGTTGATCAATCTAAACTCACTTAGCAGAGAGAGAGAGAGAGAGAGAGAGAGAGAGATACGAATATCCATTGATTTAGTCTCCTTTTCTCAACTTTTTTATTTTTGTTTTAATTTGTGACGTTTCAGTTGATAATAAAAAAGCATACAATACAAGATAAAACACAAAGTGTCCCAAAAATATTTTAATTAAAAAGTTAGCCAAAAAATAGTCCGATTTTAAAAGTACCAGCGTATCAGCATTTTTTTGCTTTAAATTTAAATTTAAATTTGCGAGAAGTTAAACATACGTATTAAATTAAAAATACGTATCTCTGTAAATTATCTCTGAAATTTGTTAATCCGAGCGGACGGAACAAACTTGTGTATTGCCGGTCGAACGACTTAAAACGTTCCGTCGCAAACCGTCACTGTAAAAACTGTCACTGAAATTGTGAAGAAAAGGGACTCTGGAAAGTTTAAAATAAACTATCGATTGTTATCGACGGTGCGATCGGGGATGGCTCTCCGCACCTGCAGAGTTCACCGGGGTTAATCGACGAGACGGAGCGTCGGGGCGCCGCGCCGTCGCGATACATCGCGCGCGGCATGATTCTTTTCTCTCGCGAGCCGCTACTTTCGCCCGGCCGCTCGTGCGGCGTCATTAACGATGTTTAACGAGCCGGCAGCCCGGAGAAAGAGAGAGAAAGAGAGCCGCGACAATACCGTTGGCAGAAGTGTACATGTACGTGGCGCGCGCGCGCAAGGTTCATGTACGACGTGTTCGTCAACGTGCAACACGAGCGTCGTCGGCGCGACGACGCGTGCACAAGTGAATTTTGCGCGAAAGAGCGCGTACTTCTCTCTTCGAAAGTTTCAGCCCCGCGTCGTCGACGAAAGATCCCGGTGCTCCTCGAGCCGCTCGTCGGCTGCTCGGCGACTACGTCGTTGCTTTTGAACATTTCGCGGAGCAGTCGCGAACAGACGCGCGTCCGCGATTGGAGAATTTTAGCGGGCTCTGCCCGCGTCGAAGATTTCTCGGGATTCAGTCCGATTTGCTGAGATCTGCTCAGATTGCAGCCGGGGTGAAGTGTTTCAAATACGCGATTCTAATCGGGAAACTCGGAGTTTTCTCACTTTCTTTTCCTGGCCTTTCGTTTCGCATCAGAAATTTATTTTGTTTTTTTTTATTTTCTTCTATCGGATATGATAGTTGGTAGGCAAATTGGATCTTTTATTTGATACAAGAGTATACTGTCGCTACATGCTAAAAAAGGAATGCATGTTCCACCTCACGAAATTCTCAAATAATATCGTAGTCGAGTAAGAAATTTTGGGGCAAATTTCGGTATTCCAATCGGAATCCACGTTGAATCTAAGAATATCTTAGGACCTTTCTATGCAGGTACATGTTCGAAACTTGGGAGCTTCGTACTAAATTCAACTTTGACGAAAACTTCAAAGTTTCGAATCTTTAGACGCTACTCGAGAATCCGAGATTCCGATAGATAGAACAAGATTCCGTGCGATTATTATCTCGCTCGAACATGCAAATGTCCCAAAATTCACACTTGGGAAGTTGGAAAGTTCGTAGAACTAAAGCGCTTCGAATATAATTTTCACCTCTACTTTCTCGGTCTTTTTTTCACGCGCTGCCGATGCCGAAGGTCATCGTCGGTGTTCACACGAGTCAATCATTAACGTCCTGTATGTTTTGCAGAAACAAAGCATAATGGTGCGCCAACTGGAAGAGGAGCTCAGAATGAGGATGCGCGGGCCGAGCGTCGAGATACAGCAGCAAATGGAAGTTTTGTATAATGAGAACGAGCATCTGACTCGCGAGATCGCCATACTTCGTGACACGATAAAGGTAAGAGAGACCTATTGAATTATCGGTTATTCCATCGAGCATGATTCGGGAAAAGATCCGCAAATCGAAGCATTGCGTGGAGATTTAACTCGTCGTGCGTTGGAACCTCTCTCAGCCGTGTTGTACTTTTGCTAGAGACGCTTGATATTTTTACTCATTCGTTTATTTACTTACGGGACTACTTCGATGTACACAACAAGAGAAAAATATTTCACGTAGATGTCGCCACATATTTCATCATCTTGTAAAAACGAAACGCCTGAGAGACATTCTGCGAGTTTGCGTGAAATGTAAATTGTCGAGTTGCAACGTTCCTTCTCGTTTTTTTTCCGAAGATGAAGTTGGACACACGGAAAAGAAATCCCAACAACTTAATAGAGTGTCCGACACAAATTCATAACTCAGAAACGATATCTTTATTGCTGGAAAAATCGCGCGATATCTCTCTCAAGTCACTCAGACATTTGTCTGAGCGTATTCGGCTGTCTGCAGGAACTCTCGAAATTCGATTGAAACAACCGAGATCAATTGACTAAATAAAGGGAACCTCTTACGGGGGATCTTCTTGTGGCCACGATCGAACATTCGTCTGGTTCTTCGACAAGAGAAAATTGATTACACGAACCAATTACTTTTTTCCTGCGGATGCACACGTTTTACGAGCGCATCGAATAAACGCCATCACAAACGTTCTATATCAAGCGTCGTTGTATCAAGCTTACTCGCGGCAAAAATAGTAGAAGACAGAAATGTGAAAGGCAACTTAATTTCACGACAGCCAGACAATGACACCGCTCTAAAGATCCAAATGCATTATTTCGGCTGCGGTTCTTCTTATAGGTACGTTTCTCTCGCCGTTTTAAAGCACGTCACTCGACACGCTTAGATACGCTTCAGCTTCTAATTCCGCGCGTTCAAGCGCGCGCGAAGTGACGCGTCTGAACCGACGAGAAACGTCCCAGAAGAAGAAGAGCCGCGCAGTCCAAAGTATTATTTCCGACATTTACGCGCGTAAAGCAAAATGCACTCGGATTTGCGGCGATTGAAGAGCCGTAACTCCGAGATGAATAACCCGCGGCTCGAACGATTTCTGACTTCCCGAGCGGACGGTGATTCGAAAACGCCCACAAGCATGCTGCAAGCACGCCCCTCTATTCTCAAGAATAATTACCACCAATTATCCCGCGGGATCGCTCGCGACTCGCAGGTTTCCTCCACCGTGACCGCCGCGCCGTGAGAGACCGAAAACCGCCCCCGTTTCTCACCCCGGCAGCTCCCGCTGCCCGTCGTGAATTTTTCCACCCGACCTACGCCGCGCTCGCGCGTTTACCAAATTAATCTGAACGGCGCGATTAAACCGCGCGGCGCGGCCGCTTTTCCGCGTCTTACGTCGCGCGCGGAAATAATGCAGTCGTTGCCTCGGAATAGAATGGAGCGAGCACGCCCGCTTTCACTTCCGCGCCGCACCATCGCGAAGATTGGAACTCCCCTGACAGAATCGCGCCCCCTGCTCTCCCCCCGAGAGGACGGGGCGGAGGGGGGCCGGGGAGTGAAGGGGCGAGCTGAGTAAAGACCCTATTATAATCCGGGAATAATAGGGGTAAAGTGCGGCGAACGCGCGGAGCGAAAGAGAGGAGATTCTCCGGGTCGGCCCGTGAATTCGGAAGCACCGCAGACGCCTCCGGGGCGTTTTCCTCGCCTCCTCCCCCGCCAGCCGCCCCCTGGCGACCCCCGGTCGACAGCCCTGGAGAACTTTCCCGACGTTTGCGAACATTTTCGCAGCGCGCTCGCGGGGCCTTTGCCGGATATATATCGGCCGCTATCTGCCGATCTTCCGATGTGTTGGCACCTGTCACGCGCCCGACATTGTCTCATTGCCAGGGGAGATGCAACGGAGAAAGAGAGAGAGAGAGAGAGAGAGAGAGAGAGAGAGAGAGAGAGAGAGACACGCAACATCTGCCCGATATCTCGCGCGCGCATTGTGCGAAGCGTTCTCCTTGGACGAACGATAATTCATAAGGCCCGATCGATCGATCGGCTCGCGACGACGTCAGCCTCCTACTGGACGGGGTGGGGGTGGGGGGGGGAGGTGGAAGGCGACGTATTAAACGTGAATTTGACCCGGTGCAATTATTCCCGGAAGTCGTGAATGAAACCGCTCGAGAGAAATAATCCGTCGGACGGTACGTACCGCGGTTTATCGACTTCTCGGGCGCCACGCGAAGTCGAAATAGATGAGAGAAGCGGGAAGGCGGGGAGGGGGGAACTTGGGTCGCGTTCGAGGTAAACGACCGAATGTCCGCGGCCGGTCCAAAACGCTACCGGAAATCTTGGCAGCGACGCGGGAATATGACCTTCCCCTGAGAGATCAGGATTAAGCCCGTCGCTTCGCGATGGTCGGAAACAATCTCGCCGATGCACTCAGCGTCGAATCGATACCGGCGCGTAAGCGCGTAATCAGAGTCGCGTGCAATCTCATTTAGCGAACGGCGCGATCAGCGCGGAAGTCTGACGGATACTTGTTCCCCTTCCTCTTCTCTCGCCTCGCTATAAATCGACACCGCTTTTATCGACGGCTTTTTTTTCGTTTCGCGAAAAATTTCGTAAAACTTGTAAAAACCTCCCGACTGTAGCAATGGTCTCCCGCGTCCGAGTTTAACTCTGACGTCCTCCCGTGCGACGACGCGATGACGAGAGCGACACGGCCGTGTGCAGGGCGAAAAAGCGAGAAGAACGGCCTTTGTTTCGCGTCCCTATCTCGCGTCAATTTCTCGCCGAGATACGGCTTTCGGAATTTTCTGGAATTTTCCAAGTCGCCGCGCGCGCGCTCGAACATAATGTAGTTCACTCGCGACGCGAACTTGGCGCTTCTCGGCGGCACGCTCGGCTCAAAGGTGCGACGGGGTTCAACATTGCAGTCGGTCCTCGTTTGACCATTTCGCCGTTCGTTCATATCTCCGTTCGGGAGAGTCGTAGCGACGTGAGACAAAGTGCGTTGGAAGTGGCTCCTCCATGTTGTTAACTGATTTAATAATCAACCGTATCGTTGAAGGTAATTTATGTTTCAAGATTCCCTCGAACGGAAGGTAAGAGTTTAACCCTGCGGTCGAACTCGCGTTTTGTCGACTTTCGTTCGAGCGAAGCGTAGAGAAACGAAATAAATAACCTTGTAGCAAATACAAAGTCCCTCGGTTGATTGCCGCGGTATTACAGTGGATTGTTATTTAACTTGTCATAAAATATATAAAAACTGCGTGGAGATTATATCTTTTTATATTATTCATTAAGATTATGTTTCGCTCTACAATGGCGCTGCGATGCGGAAATATCTGGAAAAGTAACAAAGAGCCAAACACATTCGAGTAATTGCGATATATTCTGCGGCAAAAATTATGCAGACGTGCGTACTAACATTTGCACTCGAGCGCATAACAATCTCGCTAGTGCGTTTCAAGGGCTTACAGAGATTTCGCCGTAACGACCACACACTTCGCAAGGGGACGCGGCGGTAACTCGGCGGGGGAGGAATGCCTGGGAGACTAAAATCTCCGGCGGGAAGTAGTCTAATCTCGTAAGAAACAGAGTAGCAAGTACAAACCTCCCGCAAGACCGAGACGTCGCAGACAGGTCAAATGTACAACGTACGGCGAGCAACTGGTCGCCTTTGGCCACTCGCCAAATTATGCAGTCGGTCTCTCGTGCTCTCGCGAATGCTTATTGCCAAATCGGTCGGTCGGACGGTGGTTCACGTCGACATTCCGCAACCGGAGCCGGTAAGACGCGCCTCGCGGGTGCTCTTCTGGGGGATCGCATTCAGGCAGTTCGATCGAATTATTATAATTGCCGGGCCGCGGCGCGGCCTTCTTGTGTCTTCGAGAGAACACCTCATGCTTCCAGCCAGGCCGTCGCGGGGCCCCGGGTAATATCGCACGCGAGGGATCCCCACGCAGCGGGAAAAGCCGAGAGAAGGCCAACAGCGGGTGTCTAATTTCGGGCTAATTACTTTTCCGCCGACAAAGAGGCGTGCTAAATTCGTTACGCGGCCGTCAAGCGGCGGCGCTATCTACCTAACGTTGACGTTCGCGCGAGCCGAGCGTGTTAGAGCAGCGGTTCGGGCGGCCGGGCTTTATCGACTTTGATTTCTCGATTGATTTCCTTCCCGTCGCGAGGTTTAACGCCACGCGAGGTGCGGCCGGTGGACACGTCGAAAAAGAAAGATGTGTCGCAATTTACTGAAAAGAGTCACGATACTGTAATTCCCGAACACCGAGAAGCAGAGTGGAGCAGTCGAGTATTATTATGTTATGTTGTATTATATTATTACGTTGGTGGAATTGTCTCGCTGCACAGGCGCTGTGCAACCCTGTCTATAATTATTTAGCAGCAAAAGTGTACTCCAAAGGATAAATATTATTAGGGATGCCGGAAAGTCTTTTCGTATTTTAAGGCCTTCAATTTCCGTGATTATAGTACGGGTTTTTAATTTCAATGCAGAATTAATTAAAATTCCAGGCTAGTTAACATCATTTCTTTATTGCGTACATCCACTTTCATTAAGATCGAGCTTACTCTTGGGAAATGGTAGCGTCCGAATCGAGTGAAAAACACGGAAAAACGAAAAGACTTTTCAATACTCCCAATAATTCAATACCCCCGTGTACTCCCGATTTTTGAAAAAATAATCTTCGAAACAATTATATATTTCGGAAAAAATTGTATTTCGGGATATCGTCAGATTTACAGTGCTTGATGACCTTTTGAGGATTTGCCTCGGTTTCCGAACATCTGTCGAGATTTTACCGAAACGGCAATTTGCCGAAATGACCGAGTGACAATTTGGTGACGTCCCCGAGTCCATTGGAAGAAAGAAAAAAAAAAGAAGTGTCTGCGACACCCCGACTGTGTACGTTTACCCGAAATTAACGTTTCATCTCGCGACGTTTCATCCCGGAACGACGAGGACGCGCGACAATATCGCAGCGGCGAAAAGCACACCGATCCCCATCCGGTGTCGCGGAGGCGCTTTTGCGCCCGGCGACGCCTAGTGCAATTTCTTCGCTGTTAATTAACTCCATTTCTCATTGTAGGAGCTGGAATTAAGAATAGAGACGCAAAAGCAGACGCTGCAGGCTCGCGACGAGAGCATCAAGAAGCTCCTCGAGATGCTCCAGAACAAGGGGATGGGTGAGTCGTTGATTGCAACTTCTTCAAATTACCTTAATGAATTATCTTTAACACTGCATCTCTCCTGTTGCGAGGAACGAATCCCACGTGCGGCCGTCGATCGGCAGTGAAAATAACCGCGTGACAGAACGAAAGCGATAGAATGGCGGGAGAAGCCGGCGGGTGCCGATCGTTTTTCGCGAGCCTTCTCCTCCGCGATTCTCGAGACTCTCAGGCGCCGCGCGCGCGTTTTTCCGCTCGACATTTCTCGCGCGAGGCTCACGCAGAAAGAAAAATACCGTTTCCCGATGGCTGAGCGCGAACGAGAGCTCTCCAGCCTGTTTGCCTTGCCCAGCCTCCCGTGAGACTCGCACGGTAACCTCCCGCCCCCCGCGGATCCCACACCGCGTTACAGCGCGCGATTTTCCAGCGACTCGAACGCGATAACGAGCGCGTGCAACCGCGAATTTGACGCTGCGCGAAGCCGTCTTGCTCGCGGCGCGAGCAAACGTTTGCTCATCGATACGCGCGAGACGTCAAATAAACCATCAAGCGACCCCGCTAACGAAGGCGAGACAGAGAGAGAGAGAGGGAGAGAGAGAGAGAGAGAGAGAGAGAGAGAGAGAGAGGGAGAGGGAGGGAGGCAGAAAGAGAGACACTCGATTTCGCCTCGCAAGAAATTGTTCGCGCGTCCCCTCTCGTTAGGTTCGGCGAGTCGCTTAAAACGAGCCTTCAGCTTTCAGCCTTCAGTCTTCGTCTCGCCGTTCAGCGTCTTGCGATCCGCGTAAACGCGTATCCGCGCATCCCTCCCCGTCCCTCCCTGCGGAAGCGACGGCGCGCAGGAGCGAGGGAGAGTAGAATCCGTATCTAAAGAACCAGACACTCGCAAGCGCGAACTCCGCGGAATATAGGAGAAAAAAGGATGAAGGACGATGACGAGAGGTCCGCTCGCGAAACACGCCGACGGAGACGCGACATCGTCGTGGGCTATTCGTTGTTTCGCTCTTACGATAACTAACGAGAGCGGATCTCGAGGCGCGTTCACCTGGCGAGAGCAGCGTGCGCCTCGCCGACGCGTCGACGTCGTTTTGTCACCTCCTCGATCCACCTTCGGGAACCGCACTGGAAGCGATTGCTAGGTCGAATCCGGTTTCGGTGATCCGCGCGTCTCGGGTTTTCCTCTCGCTACAATCGAAAGGTTTGAGTAATCGTTACTCCATAGCAATCTCTGCTTGTTTCATCTTTCTTCAATTTTATTTTTTTCTTTATCAACCTCTACTTTATTTTTACGTTGCAGCAGTCTGCTCTATGTGGAAGTCACGTAGGTAGTTCTTGAGATACGCGATTTTAAAGTTTCGCAATTTTACATTGAGTCGAAATGAGCGATTTTTCGCTTCTCTTCTTACGAACATATCGTTCTTCGTAGTTATATTTTATATTTTACATTTTGAATTTACGCGTGTCAAAAATATTTTAATTTCTAAATATATTTTAACCTCTCCAAATATATTCTAGCGGCCGAACGGCCTGTCGAAATATGAAATATCTCATCATAAATTGATGAGTCTATTATATACCAAAATAATCGATTGTAGAAAAATTAGCTATGATCCTTACGCAGAGTTTCAGTTTGACCGACTTGTCCATAAAATATATTTCTTCATAAGCGCTACATGTTTGAACTTTGCGTTGAACATTTTCTTTTTTTTTTTTTTAGTATATGATGAACTTATTTTAACGATTAAAACGATTTGAAGGATATTCTCATCAGAAGTAGCCCTAAAAGTAGGCTAGCAAATGTAAACGTAAAAAATGTGAACAGAGAAGGACAACATGAATGTGATATGTTTGTAATGAAAGCTACTCTCTGCATACCGAGTGATAAAAATGCTACACTTTAAAGCGATTGTCTCACGAAAGACGTGCGATTCTCACATAATTTTCAGTGCAAAATTTCATCCTTTACCGGACAAGATAAAAGTAACCCGAGATGCGCGCGTAGTCTTCCCTATAATAATTACTGTAGTTTTATCAATAATCAATCGATCAATGGCGCATCGAGCTCCCAAGAACGACTGCAACGCCGTTATATCGCGTCAGTCTCGAGACATGAATAATTCGCGCACTGTCGCGCAATATCGAAGAGAGAAATCGGCAAGGATTACGGTCGCGCGGGTGTAAACTGCTGTAGGTGATCGTCGGAATCGATTGAAAATCTCACGCATTGAACACACACATACACACATACACACACACACACACACTCACACGCATACAACATACGCATACACAGATACGTCCGCGGAGCACACACTCACACCGACGATCCGAAAACCCGGGACCAACAGTTCCTCCAAGAGTTCCTCGTTACTTTCTATTGTTCTAGGAAAAGAGGAGGAAAGGATCATGTTCCAGCAGATGCAGTCGATGGCCCAGAAGCAGGTCCTTATGCTATTTCTACCCATGTCGCCATAAATATATATATATATATATATACATACATAAATACATATATATATACACACACTCATAATTATTAATCTATATATATATATATATATATATGTGTGTATACATACGCGCATATATATTACGCATTATACATATATGTATTTACATACAAGTATATATGTATATATGTGTATGTGTGTGTGTGTATGTATGTGTGTGTCACTCTCATTACGATCGACGCTCATTAACGCATCGACGCATATGTGTATATATCTGTGCGCATCAGCTATATATCCGGCCATCTCTCTTCTAATCTCTACTATGTCATTACTTTATGTGTATATGTGCGTGTGAATGTGTGTGTGTGTGTGTGTGTGTGTGTACATATGTGTGTATGTGTGTACGTTATATACACGTATGCGCTGACATCGCAATCGCTGCCCATTGTTTTGTGCGAGTAGTTGCTTGCCAAGTAGCCAGTTTATTGCACTGCCAGTGGCTTTTACTTTTCGCCCCGTGTGTTTCGTCGTGCTCACGCTTGAGAGACTACTTGTGTATATCACCATGTTCTCTGAGAAGGTTGGGAAATGAGAGAGGAACAAAGTGTGTGCATTTTCCGGAGAAAGGCCAGAAAATATAAACGCCATTCGCGCGAACAGGGAGAGCGCCAGGGGGGTGAGAATGGAGTGGCCCCCTTCTGTTTGCCCCCCGACCCCCTTCTCGCCCCGGGGGCGGCCAGCTCTCTCGATTCGAGGCGCTGCTCTCGCCCCGTGCGACTCGACTCGATCATTGCCCCCGCGCGATCGATCGGGCTCGCACGAGCGGCGGAAGGGTTCCCTCGTTCTGTGTTCCGCAATCGTGGCGAGATTAAGGTACGGTATTATAAAGCACATGCGAGATCGGGGGACGCCGATAGCCGCAGAGGCGGCAGGCCGGAACATGGCGCGCGGGCCTCGGCCATATTCGAGAGGCGGCCGGGAACGACAGGTGGAGAAGGTCAGCGGGAACGTACGAGCGTTCGTTCGGTTACTCTCTAAATTTCCCGACGTGGGATTTCGCTCTCGAAAGGTGGCCCTCGACTGAATATTTTCACTCGAGAAGTTTGTTTGATCGTTCCAGGCGATTTCATTCTTTTCACTGTACCCGCGAATGAAGTTTTACCCCGCAAAACTTACTCTCCAAATTTCCACGGGTAAAATCTCGCTCGCGAAGAGCAGAGGGACCATCGAGTCGCTCTTCGAATTCGAGTGATTCTTCGCTCGCATCGAGCGAATCGTTACTCATTTTTCGTGAGGTTTTACCCCGTAAGATTCACTCTCGAAATTTCTCGGGGCGAAATCGGAATAAAAATCTGGAAGAGCGAATACTCGAGAAAGAGCACGTCGGGTGAATTCTCCACTCTGAGTCGTCGAGTGAATATCTTCGCGCGAAATTCAGGGGTGAATATTTTATCGTCACAGAAACGTACTCACGATGGTTTGAAACATTCGCCCATCATAGAGTCCAATTCGAGTGAAATATTCACTCTTGCGAACTTCTCCGAGTGGCGGTATTTTCACGGTCGCTTCGAATGCATTTTCACTCGATTTCAGCAAGGTTCGGTCTCGAGAGACGCAACGATCAGATTTATTCTCCGGGTGAATGAAGTCTCCCTGGAAAAGTAGAGTGACAGACTGCCATCAAAATCCAGAACCCGAATCCTGAGAGCTCGAGTGAAACATTTATCCTGACGATCTCGAGTAACATCATTCTCATTCTCGCCTCGGACGAAAGTACCGCCAGTCCTCGGTCGTTTTCGCTGAAACTCCGCTCCGAGAAATTTCGAGAGTACACATTCCGAGATCCGAGCGCGAACTGCCGGGCTGGAAGGTCCTCCGATTCCGCCGCGCGGGCACGCAGGAGTGTCGAATGAATTCGGACCCGGAGGATCGGGGAATGCGCGGACAGGTCCAAAGGGAGATCCGCGGGAATTCGAAACTGCGGAAGCGTCCCGTCACGAGCCGCGCTGAAAGAGAGAGAGAGAGAGAGAGAGAGGGGGGGAGAGAGAGGCTCGGGAATCTGAAAGATTCAAGAAGCGCTCGGGAATCCGGCGACTTCGGTAGAGCCGTTCGAGTAACGCCGCTCGTGGAATCCGTAGGAGGTATTTTTCTCTCTATTCGCAACAACGACGCTCTATTCGCTCTGAACGTAGCGCGACTCGTGCCAATCACCCTGAGCGTCGTCGGTCGCCGAGGTCGTTCGGAATCCTCGAGAGAGGACTCCCGCCTCGTGTTCGTGGCCAGGAAAAACTGTCTCTGTCGCTGCCCTTTTCGACTGTGCAGAGCGCGCAGTTCCCTTTCCATTGGTTTCTCGCTCTTTTTCTACACTCGCGTGCCCTCTCTCGGTGTAATTAGCCGCCGTCCGAACAAGCCACGGGACGCACGCGCGATGGTTAGCGCGATGGATCAAAGATGGAAATTCGATTCGACTCGAGGGCGCATCGCGCCCTGCGCCCCTGCGATGCAGGGCGCAACTCCTCGTTGCGGTGTGCAACTCGAGAGTGTGTTAATCGAGAACCTTGCAGGCGCACGTAATCGAAATATCTATGCCTCTCGGGAGTATTCGCGACTCGTTCCGCCTGCCTGTAGGATGCTTGACGCGGGGCGTCTTCGCTCCCCCGAGGGGAAGAGAATCAAGTCGGTGATGGAAAATCGCCGGGGCTCACACCGCGACACTCAGCGCGACGCGCGCGAGTACATGTTTGTAGCTCGCACACCGACACGAACATACACGTACATATATACAAAATACACACACATACACGAGCACACATTCGCACGCACCGTCTTCCTTCGGCTCTTCCAGCGTGCTACTCGCCCGACGCACACGCGCACATTCACACTCACGCTCGCGTGTTAGCGTGTACGCAATCGCAAAGGTTTACTCTCTCTCTCACAAGATGTATGAACGCGCGCACTTGGCCCCTCCCCATCGCGCCACTGTGTGTGTGTGTGTGTGTGTGTGTGTGTGTGTGTGTGTGTGTGTGCGCGGCAGTTTTCAAAAATTCACACTCATAAACGCGACAGTGCATTGCCCTGTTCTCCTGCCGCGCAAATCTTCGGGAAAATACGTCGTGTCGTTCGCCGGAACGACGTCGGGCGTTTGTCAGGTGGCGGTTTTATTGCGAGTGTTGCTTTATCGTCTCATTTATTTTTATGGGATTTTCGATACACCGGCCGCCGCGGCAGGTTATATGGGTGAAATAAAACACGTGGCGAAAATCCGTGTCGCCGAGTCGCCGTCGAGAGCGTCCGTGAACGGTCAATTCCGGTCGGGCGGTCGTTAATTAGCAGAAGGTTACATTTCGGCAGGAGCCGCGCGAAAATCCTACTCAAGTATCTCGGGCATCTGCTGGTTCGAAAAATAAAAGAAAAAAACAGAAGGAAAATAAAAAGAGGAGGATCATTGAGAGACAGCCGTGAGATCTCTCGCGTCTCGAGAGATGCCGGGTGCGTGAATTTTCACGGGGATGATACGCAGAGAGAGATGAAGTCCGCCGACGTGAATTTTTGAAGCGTCGATATGTGCACTCGGTCGCAAAACGGTTTAGACTCATCGAGGTGAGATGCTCATCTCGAGTCGTCACGGTTGAGAGCCTTTACCGGATGGGCTTGCGCAATAATCGGCCGTGATAAGAGCCGACATGGCAGTGAAACAAAACATCCGACATGTCAACCGGTGGATTCGGAGGAAAAACGTAAACGTTTTTATTGCACTCTTATCCACCGGAGAAGAGTATAATAAAAACAATGCACGGTGTAAATATCGGCTCTTTATTACACTGTTCCTACCTGAAGGGCCTATTGGCCCTTTATTACATTCTTAGCCGACAGGTAAGAGCCGATATTTAGCACCGTGTACTGTCACTTCGGCTCTTGTCATAACCAATTATTCTATTACTAATGGCGCCATCCTGTTATTAATGGCTCTCAACTGTGACAACCCGAGCGAACAGATTATATACAATTATACAAAATCTCTCTCCCATATATATAATTTCCATACGATTATATATAAATTTTATATGATTGCATACAATTATGTGTATAAATTATACATATAATTTGTATAACGTATACAATTTATATTATTATTGTAGTATATATATATATATATATATATACACACACACACACACATACATATGTATATATTACATATAATATTATATATTATAAAAAATATATTCACATATAATTATATATAATATATTTATATGTATATAATATTATATATAAAAATATATTTATATATAATTACATACCATGTTTATACAGAGAAAAAAAATGCATACACAATTATATACAATCATTTCTGCTCAAATTATTTCATACACGACTGCATCTCCACTCGCAGGGGGGAGGGCGGGGAGGGGGGGAGGGGATCTAAGTCTTATTCCATAATGCGTCCAAGCCGTTTCGCAAGCAAGTGCATACCATCGCTTGTTCATACATCATGTACACGCACACACATGAACGTACGTATACAAACACAACATACCGCGCAACTGTCGCTGCGCTTCGCTATATACTACTGTCCACTAGCGAAACGAGCCTATCTATTAACTGTGCGACCGTCGTGAAAAGTTTCTCCCCGAAGCACCTGAGCACCGCCACCGTCATCACCAGCATCGCCATGTCCGCTCTACCCCACGCAATCCGTGTTAGATAGCCCTTAGAGCAGACGTAGTCGTGTAGCCCGAGATCGTTTTCTCTCACCGTCTTTTTTTTTTATAGCGCCTCTCCTCTCGTTTATAGTATACGTACGTTCTCGGTATACACGGATGCGAAGTCGTTCGGAAAAGCCACTATCAGCTCGCCACCGCCGCCGCCACCGCCACCGCCACCGCCGTCGTCGCACGTCGCCGCTGCCGCCGCCGCCGCCGCCACCGCCGCCACCGCCACATTCGCCGCCGCACGTCGCCGACTTATCCCCGCTTTTCGACTCTTTCT